CATCCCACCTTCCGAGTGATGGTATTGGGAAGGATAGAGCCTTGCCCAGGTGCAGCAACGTCTGCAGCTGACGAAAATGACCGCTCCACACAGCATGTTGTTGCCGAGATTGAAAGGTAGTCCCGTGCCATTGACGCCAGCACCGGGAAGGACTTCTCGTGCTTCTACAAAAGTGTCATCAAAGAATTTCATTTTAAATTGATTTGCTGATCAAAGCATCAAACAAACTCACCCTCCACCAGTCTAGAGGCTTCTCATCGGGCAAGATGCCAAACTTGCCCGATAAGTAGTTGGTCAGCTCATTATCGTGTTGAGATGAATTTGGAATGTTACTGGCCGAGGCGGCAAACATGTCGAATTCGTCTGTTGCAGTTGGTATCACCAAATGTTGAGGCGAAGGAGGGTTAACTACATTTAACTTCCAATCTGAAAGTCGTTCTTGAAACAATTCATTGATTGAATCCTTGGCTCCATCACTTGAATCCGCATAAAAGTCTTGAAGAAATTTCAATCGGCGTCAAGGATTGAGGATTGTGGCGATGACAATGATCTCGGTGGCCAATGCCTCATCCTGGTATTTTTTCAGCCAAGATAACATCTCATTGATGGCTACAAGGATACTAGGATAGATAGTCTGACTTTTCAGAAGTTCAAGCTTTTTCTTGATTCGTAGGTATTCGGCGAGTACCTCACATCCTGAGGAAAAGTTGCCCTGCATGCAAAAAGTTGCATCTTCGAATACCTTTTTGTTTGAACAAAGTTAATCGTCTGGTCAGCAAATAAAAGGATACTTTTCAAGAGATGACTCACCTCTAGGACCGGGTTTAAAGCCTCCACTGCCTCCCACTCCTCATCATTTATAGAAAGACCTCGGTAGTACTTGTTAGTTTTTCGATCTTGTGATGTCATCGAATTGAGGATCTAAGCAAATGAAGCATGTCAGTGATGAATCATTCACGAGTCTAATTCAAGATTTATCAAAAGCTTACATCTTTTCCTTCACAAGCCCTACGTCGACTGTCAGCTTTGACATTGCACCTCACACCATACCCAACAGTGAGCACCTTCAAACCTTGTGCTTTTGCTTTAGCAGCAAAATAATTTCGCCTCGAGGCACTTGAACAAGTGATTTGTATGAGCTTGTCAACCTAAAACCAAATACAAGAGTGGTTATCCGCTTGAAGAGTTTCATCAGAGAGTGACAAAGTTACTCACCTTATGAACACTACGAGCCACAATATCGTCAGATTGAATAACAACATCCGATGGGTCCTCGGACAATCCTGATTCCTCAGGTTTTTCAGGTACTAGATTACCCTGATCCTCATCGGATTCTTCAGTATTGTCGACCTCAATATCAGCATCATTGACTTTGATTGTTGGGATAGGAACAAGTAGGCCAGGCTTCGTGGTAGGTTTAATATGTCCAGCACTAATTTGTAGAGTCTTCAGTCCGTGGCTGACCATTAGCGCTAGCTTATGACAGAAACATTTCACATGATTCCTTTCGGGTGACCAGTAGACAGGATCTTCGCATTCCGAAAAAAGCCTGGCCATTTCACGAGCCATTGGTCCATTAGACGATCCAGAATCGGTTGTCTGGCCAATCATCTGAACAATTCAATCAGAAACACGTGAAGATGAACAGATGTGAAGATTAGACTGACCTTCTTATGTAACCCGTGTCGTATGAGGTTTCGAGCAACTGGTCGGGCTAGAAGCTCGCCACAGTGATGCCATGTGACCCATTTCAAGGTCAAATGGCATGTCTGATATTGCCAGTCATCGTCAATATAATTGACCATGACTCCGATAAAAGCCATTCGATTTCCTTTAGTCGTCCAACCGTCATGGGCCAAGGAAAACATACTCGAGTTATTCTAGCCAAATGTGAGAAAAATTGACTATCAACATATAATATTGCAGATAGATCAAAAGAAACAAACTTTACCTTTATGCGTTTGATAACAACATTGTACAACGAGTAGAATAGCTCTTTGGCAGTTGTGGCTGCCCATTTGGGAGATCGCAGTTGTGCAGTCCGGTTGCACAATTTAAAGGCAGCTCGTAATGTCGGGTCCTGAAAACGAAGCCAAGGCAAAGCGTGTCGAAGGATCCATATTACCAGAACCACGTTCAGTAATTCCACGCTGAAAGTGGACTGGGACAAGAAGTTCTTGATGCTGTTGGCCGGATTCGCCACGACTTCGACTGGTTCATTGAGCTCCTTCCATGTAGGTGGCAGCTTGACTCCTGATTTGATCGCTTTCTGACGTTGTTTGCATGGTTTTTGTTTCTTGTAACCATCTTGATGTCCGTATAAATTTGAATTTCCATCTTCTCCTCTTGTATAGGTCTCCTTGCACCATTTACACACATAACCTCGTTTAACACCCGTACTCTAAGGAGAAACATAGAAATATTAGTTATTATCTTTGTAATATCAACGTGACATGAAACGTACCTCCTCGCCTTTAACATATCCTGGTTCTTCCTCAAAGTATGAAAGTAATTCCTTAACTTCGTTACTTATCGATTTTCGAAATTTCGTCTGTGGTCCTTCTTCGTCAGTGACTTGATCTACATCAACATCATCAGGAGCAGTGAAGTCCTAAATGAAATATATTTCAATAAAGTTATAGATGCATCAGTCACAGAGAGAGAGTTGATGGTGAACTTACCTTGATTGCAGGCGCTTGGCTTCTCTTCTTCTTACTGCCTTCCTGAGTTTTGTTGCTGTTCTTTCGTTTCTTGGAATGCTTCTGATTGATTTTTGGATGTTTGGGTGTGGGTGTGACTTCGTGTTCATCTTTGGATGAGGCGATGCCGATGATCACAGGTCTTTCGGGTCGACTCAAAGCCGTACGTGAGTCCCCAGAGGTCGATACAAATGGTCCTTCTTGGCGGCGAGGGCTGGATCGCGTAGAACGACGAGTCGAGTTCGGGACAGCGAGGGACGTTGATGCACCGGGTGAGGTAGGAGAACTACTACCAGGACTATCCATGATAAAGATAATGAAAGTGAGGTAACAGAAACAGAAAAGGAATTGATGATCAATACGAAGAATAGAAGAATAGTATTAGAATATGAGAAATCGATGATGAAGAAGTCAAGAGTGAAAGTAAATTAAGAAAGTCACTGGGCGGAAACTGACCTTTTCAAAACAAATCCTTGAATTCTAGCTGACCATCGCGTGCTAGTTGGGCTACGCAGGGGAAAGAAGGACCAATTGGGATGTGGTGGCCCCTTGCGATCAAAAAAAAGAAGAATAGGTACCATTGTGATTGAAAAAAAGAGGAACGGGTGTGTGAAACACCCAGAAAGGAAACCCAAGGCACGGATATTCAAAAGCCCGGTACATACCCGTAGCCGACCGTAGCGGCTACGGATCACGCTGCGGTGACCGTTGTCAATTTGCGGCGTAATCGTAGTGATCACCGTAACCAGATACTTGATAAACAGAGCACGGTACGGGGTGACCGCAATGTCCAACAGGTATTTGAGGTACGGTGAGGTCCGTACCGCACCGTACCGTTTACCGTGATCACAGCGCTGAGGTCCGAGCGTTGCTTGAAGGATGTAAAGAAAAAATAGATAGATATGTGGTTGCTCTTGACAGATTAAGTGAGTTCTTATTATTCAAATTGTCTACTGTGTCTTTGAGAAACACGAGTTTGTTGTTGAAAATGCTCTAGATGAAGCATCAATTTCAATATAGTCAATTCTGAATGAACAAAAAGAGAATATATGATGTGGTTTCTCCTGGCTGAATGAATTTTTTATGATCCAGAGTTCTTTATCTATAAGAACAAATGAGTAAGTAAAGAAGCCGGATCTCAAGAGGGCACCTAACTCCTATTGCAACCGCGGCATGTTTGCAGCCTTTTTAATGGCTAGCTAGCTCTTATGCTGCTTTAATTTTTCAAACAAAGTGTGGGTATGCTTTGTGTACCCCTAACTAACACCAGAAACCCCCGACTAGATAGTAGTCTAGCTTGATCTACTGCTATTTAGAATTAAACAGCTTGAATGTTTCAAATATCCAAACGTTTTCAGCTGGTAACTAAAAGACAAAACTGAACTTGCTTTCATCGTCAGCGCGAACGAAAACCGTTTCACGTTGCATTACTCCCGATTGTAAATGCAAAGGCAATCAGTATCTGACATTGATAAGCATTTATTATCAATGACCAATACGCGTTTATTGTTGATAACCGATACAAAGCATTTGTTATCAATCATCGTGATCGTGGTCTGTATCTTTCATGACCGATACAGAGTACAAATTTGTACAAATCACAAATCACAAATCACAAATGACGAAATCGCAGATTACAGAAAGGGGGGGCGGGGATTTTGCCTCAGATACGTAACCAGGAGAGCTCTTATCGAGGTGCATGATGTAAAGGATTTTCCTACACAGTCTACACACACTTCACCACAGTTATTCATGAAGACTTGACTGAATCCCTTGCTCCTGCCTCACACGCCTAGCCGGGAGCCTTTGTTAAGTTTGAAAGCCATACCTACACAAGTGTGATGAGTTTTTAACGTGGTGTAGAGGCTGTAAGATACACAGCATTTCGCAGCAAACATGAGAAAATAAAATCTTTTATTGACATGCACGGTCACCTCTACAGGAGCTCTCCGGGGTCCTGGTGGCGGTGATTTTGCCTCAGGGCCACCGTAAGTGAAACCTGGATGCTACAAGTTGTAAGGTATCATTTAAGATAAGAAACAATTGAGATCACTTTATACATTTTTTTTCACAAATTCGGGACAACTGTTCTGCTGCTTTCTATGGAAGCCGAGCCATCAAACCGATATCATGGTATTAGGTCATCGACTGTTTTGGAACATCTCTTAAAAACCCTTTGAAGTTGCGATTCTGCGATATATCCCGGTCATACTGAATGCTACAATCTTATAAAAAATTTCTTCAATAAAAAAATTACACAGCGTATTTAAGTTGATCCTGATTATATAGAGTTCGATCTAAATGATCTCACAACATGGGATTTTAGCTTCATGGACGATCTCGTTCTTCATCTTTCGTTTTTGCAAGTCAGGGCTACTGATACACGCCACAGACGAGCCACTTTGGCGACATAACACTGTTGGCCACATCGAAGCTTTATGGTCCAACTTCCATGATGATGCTCTCCTAAATCTAGCTTCTGATTCTAATCATGATCATCAATCAGTTGACCGCAAATCATCAAACAAGAGAGTTTTGGTAAGCTATGAAACCAATTCATTGTCTTGCGTAGCTTCAAGCAGGGTCAAAACCCAGAGAATGACGTTCCGTGTCTTTTGCTTCTCTCACCATTGTAAACATTCCTTGTCTTTTGAAATACCATCAGTGGGAATTGGATCCTACTGATTCCCAAAGATCTCCGACAATAGATGGCAACGTGAAAAAGAAGTCGGGGATAGGACGTTCGGTCTCAGAAGCAGATATGTTGAGCAGAGGGATCTCTTCTGGGTTTGCAAGATTTGATATATAAGCATCTTCATTTGAGAAGTACTGAGATATGAATCGAATTGATCTCACACTTTTCAGTCGGAAAGAAGTCAATGGATTGAGACCTGTCACAACTGGTCGCAAGGTTTTCCGAACTTCTCTTCTGGATATTCCCGGGACAAACTTCGTTCAAACAAAATCTCTTCAAAAAGATCCCATGCGTCCCACGATATCTCCAACATCTGTCTTGGATGTCTCCTCAGATGCAGAAAGCGAGAAAGCATCCTTACCAACAATCTCAGCGGCTGGACAGCACATCGATCATATAATTCCCTCTTCGAAATCATTGGAGTCTATCAAGGAATCGGCATCTGCTTCATCTTCCCCTGGTATAAATACATTATCCAATGAGGCTGTGGCGCCTAAGCTGGATGCATATTCCATAGATCCAGTGGAAAAGAGTGACGAAATCATAGGAAGCGCATCGGAGAGGCATGGCCGACTAAGGCTATACCTTCCTAGACCCAACCTGGTAAAAGCACCTCCGCCACCCCGAACTCGGCGTTTGACAAAAGGGTCAGGGATCCTTGATGGTTTTTATGACAAGCTCTACGAGGAACGTGCCGTCATCTCTTCTCTTACTAAAAGGATTTTGGATATCGTTGTGCTTGATTTGGTAAACCTAGACTCGAAATCCGTACCAATCCTTCTGGAGTTGAAGACACTCTTGATCACCGTGGGTGAAAAATTGAATCACCTTCGCCAACATACTTTCGTGAGACTCTATGCAACTTTTTCGGTTAGTTCACAGCTCATTCTCATATCTCCTCTTGATTCGGTTCACAAGTCCTTACTACTTCTGACGCCCATTGATAAACTCATCTCACGGCAGGTATGGCAAGAAAGTCGTAAAAAAGCCGTGGAGATTTTGGAAAAAGTTTCGATCATCTATCTTGAATCGATAAATCAACTGAAAGATGCTTCCGGAGTAGTGCACGCTCAGTATAATATGTCACAAAAGTTTCTACGTATGATGAAACAAGAGTTGTTAGAAGTCGGTTTGGCGTCCTTCAAAAGTCATGTAAAAGAACTTATGAGACAAGTTGAAGATATCGCTCCTCGAGAATATGGAAAAAAGCTTGATCCCTTGGCCATCAGTTTGGACGCTCATGAACATGCTCCATTTCGACTGTCAATCTTGGGTCTCAAAGAACCATCAAAACCTGTTGAAATCAAGCACGTACATCGGGACTTTGACTCCATGGTGTAAGATTTTGATTCTCGCGCTTCTTTGACGATGTCATACATTTGGGATCAGAGGCAAATTGCTCATACTTTGAACCCCGATGTTCTTTGTCTTCCGGTACTCGACGTTATCCTATCGGGGAGTGAAAGTGGCGCGAGAGTTGCAGGCGTCCTCATAATAGATGACATGCCGGCGCATATCAGAATGTTACAAAGGGTCGTCAACACCCCACGGTCAAGCACTTTGAATGATTTTGAGGCACTCGAAGAGAGTCTCTTAGATTTCAAGAAATGTCTGCGCACTAGCTTCACTCTTATGGCCTGGGGATTTGCCCACAACCTCCCACCCTCATCTGTAGGTGATATCATGCTCTTTTTCGTTTGTGATACGTGATTCTGAACTGATCAAAGTGAAAATGATGAACTGGTGGCGCCTAGCTTGACAATTTGCTAGATGATAGCATGGCCTTAAACAGGATTTTGAAAACTTTGCGCCACATCTTGGATCTTCATCCCCTTCATCCAAGGGGAATTGGAAAGCCGGGTCCCGATTACGAAGACATTGGGGATTTCATTGCAGAGACGCTGGTGAAATCTATTGGTAAAGGGTCAAAGATCTTACTAGAAAGGCTAACATTTATGTCTCAGGAAGGATCTCGAGAGCCAACCGGTCTTCACTGGTTCTGGGGAGCGGATGCAGCACTCGATCACTTCCCCCATCATCTTTTACCCGAAAGATCCTATCAGCGTTCAGTAAGTTTCAAGTTTTCTGGTGAAACGCAAGGAGAATTTGGAAAACGCTTGGAGAGATTTTTAGATTTGTACGACGAGCTTTTGAATAAAAGACCATTATTGGAGTTTTCAGCTATGATATTTTCTGAACGATCTGATTTCATCAAAAGAATGATCAAAGCAAACAAAGACATAATATCACTTGCAAAGGAACAATTCGGCTTCTCAATGTCTCGATATATCTTGCGTCACGTTTGTTAAAAACATTTTCTAATCTACTAATTGTGTTCATCTGATCTTGTATGAATCTTTGGCTTACGTGAACGTTTGATGTCTTTTCGTGACTGCAGTGCTACCTTTGGAAGTTCTGCTTGAACCAAGTGGACCACATGCTCCAAACAGCAATTCAAGATTTTGAGCTTCTGGAAAAAAGAGCATTAGAAGAAATCAATGTCGTACATTGGTCTGCAATGGAGTCGTTATCCGATAGGATCTTGATGTTCAGGAGAGAACTAGACAAACTTCTCGCAAGTGATGTTGGGCCCATATCCACAGGTTCAATCATCAATCCAGTTCCCCAGTACTCTCGCATTGAGCCAAAGGTCAAATAGGCAGCAAAAATAACATAATAGGTTATCATTGTCGAAGAAAAACAAAGATAATCATATCAAAAAACAACCAACAAGAATATCAAGTCAGGAACTGCAAGGAAGGCTAACAGGTATCATTTTGCATTGCAATCGTTTTAGACTTCCCTGAATATCTCTTTATTATTAACAGGGAAAGCTTTCAAATCATCTTCAGCTCTTTACTACCTTACACCCCCCACAAATAAAAGTGTACACACATGCAGGGTGAGAATATATTCCCCATGGTCGTAAGATTTTTCCGAACATCAATTTTCGGGAATCGTGATATTCGTAAAACTCCACTTTCCCCGAGACATTCTTTTTTACATACATTAGAACAGGTTTGGGAGTCCGAGTGAGCCGAGCTAAACTCACGATGGTGGTTTTAGCCAGAATCGGGGCATAGAGCCCTACATAGCTGCAATGAGAGAGAAATCTATAACAGAATAGAACCTAACTACAGGGCAACTGACTCAAAGACGATAAGGTCCACTATGGGGCAAACTAAAAAGTAATACAAGTTATGTAAGAGAGGGAGATATGTGGTGGGACGAAAATCCTATATGAGGACGAAAATCCTATATGAATCGAAGAATATAAACAAAGAGAAGATCTCAAAATGACTTGATGATAATTGATGGAGTATCTAAAGGGACTTTGAGTAATAAAACGGAGCTCAAGATCATCCACGTAAACAAATAGAAATGATTTGAGAGGGTAAAGAGGAATCCTCGAAGATCAATGGCAATGAGAGATATTCGCGAAGGCAATGAGCACAGCATGTAAGCAACACGATGGATTACACATCGTTCGTCAAGGCTACGTCACACAACTTCCCAATCTATTTTTAAACAACTCCTCCTCTTCCACAAAAGCCCATCCTTTCCAGCCTCTCATTTTATGTTTTCCTTTTCCAACGCCTGTATCCGCTTCTGTTTCAGCTTCTTGCATCTCCACTACCTCCACTTCCAAAGGGACTTCTTTTTTTCTGTGCTTGCCTTTTTCAGCTATGGTTGCTATTCATGAAAGGCTTGTGAATCTCAGACAAGGCAAAGCCCAAACTTATCAAAGTCCCTCGCCAAAGGCTCGAGGCTTGAGCGAGGGGAGGGTAAATTTCAAAGAATTCGTGCCCATTTAACTGTCTTACAAAAACACTTTTTGGCCAAATGCACCATCAAAGCCAAAAACTGTTTTTGGGTCAAAGCACTTTTTGATTTTTGTAGAAAACATTAGAATAGGTTTGGTATTGACGTGAATCAAGCTGGAGCTCACGATGAGGAGATTAGCCTGAATCGGGGCATAGAGCCCTAATTACAATGTAGTGATAATACTATACAGAATAGTTAAGTACATCTGCAAGACTCAAAGGCATCAAAAAGGTCCGCTATGGGGCGGTCTAAAAAGTAACAATAAAAGGGAGAGGCGGGCAGTCCCCAAAAATATGTATGAATAAAATGAGATCAATGAATATACTACTCGAAAAAGATTTCAAGAGAGAGAATACTTTTTAAGAACTTCCTCTTAAGATGTCTGAAATATAAAGTGGGAAGAAGTAGATTACTTGACCGTCCACTATTATATATAAGATCATCATGAATGAAGAGCATCATCCATGGTAAAGAGATCAATCTATGATTTTTGGGAAATGGTAAAGAGCACGCTGTGCAGATCAATTACGAAGAGAATGATCTCTCAATGTTCGCCGGGACTCTTTCACAGGTTACAACACATGTTACCTATTCTCGTTTCTAGAAGCTCGCTCCTAGTCCAAGGTGTTCGGCAATGTTATTTGATCAAAGACAAAAACAGTGTATGATCAAAAACTCTTTCAGCCCTCAGGGTTTCATGAATCACCATACCATCCCATTGTTTTCCTCTGTGTGATACAACTTGTATAACAAGATAATGGGGGCAATTGGTAAAGGGATCTGGGAACAATCCATTGTCAACATCCACAAAAAAATGGAATCCAACGTCACCTTCATTAAAAAGCCAAACTCTCAAATTCCAATGATGATAGATCCCAGAGCTTTAACGCTTATTGATGACTCATGTAATGATTCCAAGTTTCAAGATTTGACCTAGAAAATCGTCGCTTTTGAAAGTACTTTGTCATGTTCAATGAAAGTTTCCAAGCCTTTTCCTACATCAAGTTGATCTCAAACACGCCTGATCGCGGCTTCCAACCTTTCAAGTGTTCTCTCTTTTCCCAAAACTTCGATTGTTTCTGCAAGTCCAGCACCGACCTATAGCAGACATCCAAACTATTAGTGCATACATACGATTCAAGCCTCTGAGATTATGAATTCCTAACCTTTCGTCCCGTGATAGCATGTCTGATAGCTGTCATTGACGATTTTCGTTTGACTTCTGGATTTGATTTTACGGTATCTTGGATCTTTTCTGAGATCCTTTCTTGTACGAAATCGATCCCGTTATCTTCAAGGAGCTCAATGAGGTGGTGGAATGATCGAGTTACTGAAACTATGGATCAGATTCAGAAAATGTTAGCTCGCCTTTGCTTTCGCATCACTTCTTTGACATGATCGCTCACGATAATGTTCCGGAGTGATAGTGCTCTTCATCGCTTGTGCTTCAGATGAAGTCAAATCAGGTAAACAGAAGAAGTATTCCGTAAGGTATTTGAGATCTGAAAAAATGTGTAAGCGATCCTTCGACCGAGTGACAAAAGGGAATAAGCATCATAAGAGTATTCAACGTCTTCATCTCATAAAGATTACTCACTCTCATTAGAAACATGACTTTCTGCATATACGCGGTTGGAAATCGTCGCTCGTCATCAGCAATGGGAGATAATAGTTTCCGAGCACGTGAGACCAAGACTTGGATTTGTTTCGGATCTGATGAACTGATTTGCCGTGAAAGATGTTGTTGATTGAGAAAATCAAGTTTAGCTTGTGACATCGTAGATCGGTGTTTACTGATTGATTCGACTGAAAACTGGAAGGTAACAAGATCGATTTGGTAATCAGCGCTGTATGAACACCTTCAACTGATTCTATTAAAGATGAAAAGATTGAAACAAACAATGGAAATCATCTCATCCATCGTCATGACGTCAGTGGTTTCATCTTTGGTCTTAGACAGTGATGCATGTCGGGAATGGTTCATGCCCATCAGAGCAACAAAATTCAATAGAGCCTCTGGTTCATAGCCTTTAGCCTAAGATTCAAAGAGAAAAAGGTTTAGGATTAATGCAAACAACTTCGATCTGATCAAGTACGAGAAGACACTCGAATCACAACGAACAATGAAATCCTCGACCCGGACATCCCCCGATCGCTTACTAAGTTTCGATCCATCGGCATTGACCAACAATGGAAGATGCACAAAGTTAGGCGGCTGAAATCCTAGCGCTTTGTATAGTAACAAATGCTTTGGAGTTGAAGATAGCCATTCCTAGTTTTACATAAGACATAGTCAAAGATCAGTAATTTACCAAACTTGATTTTTGATGAGATCTTTAGGCTGAGGAGCTTACTTCACCACGTAAGACATGTGAAATATGCATCAGATGATCATCCACGACATTAGCGAAATGATAAGTCGGCATCCCATCTGCTTTGAGTAAGATCACATCGTCTTGTGTATCATTAGGAAAGTTCAGTTGACCATAAACCGAATCTTGACAATCGATCGCTTCATCCGTATTCTGCACTACTTGACTATCCATTATCAGTCCTCATACTCAAAATACTTTAATGAGAACATTCAACTAGCCTTGAATCTGATCACATGGGATGTCCCTTGACTGATTTGATCTTTAACTTCTTCTGGAGATAAGTTAAGACATTTCCGATCGTAGACTAGGTGAGAACCGGATGTTCTAAATCTGTCTCGCATCTCCGAAAGACGATTAGGTGAACAAAAACAAGGGTATGCCTGATCTGACTAAAGCATCCAAATACATTCAAATGTCAGCAATCTGGTATCCTCAAAGTTTTTTCGGTATATTCATTACCTCTATTAATTTTTTTGCATGTTCATGATAAATATGTTTCCTTTCGGATTGAATATAAGGTCCACATGAGCCAGGTCGATCAGGTCCTGAAAAGCGAAACCCAAAGAAGCTTATTTATGATCTTAGATCTTAGGTTGATCGGATCCAACAAGAAAAAGATAACAAAATTCTAACCTTCGTCATAGTCTAATCCAGCCCAATGAAGTGTTTTGATCAAGCTTTCCAGTGCTCCTTCAACGAATCTTGTCTAAAAGAAAATCAACGTTAGATTTCATGAAGAGAAACAATAATGAGAGAAAACAAAAACTTTAGAAAGCTTACCCGATCTGTATCTTCGATTCGTAAGATCCATTGAGCACCCATTTTTCTAGCCAAAAGATGATTAAAGAGAGCCGTTCGAAGTCCTCCAAGATGTAAGAAACCAGTGGGTGATGGTGCGAATCTTAAACGCGCCGGTCGAGTTGTCACATGGAATCGAATTTGTGAGGTGGTATTTTGTATGGTTGTTTTGTAGAGAGTTCTGCAAGTTGATCGAATGAATCTCATGATGAGAAATGTAAGTAGTTTGCAGGCTGATTATAAGCTGAGCCGGATATCCAATCGGTTGATTCGGATTTGTTGTGAACCTATTAATTTCACGTAGTATGTCAATATGGTGTCAGGTCAAGGGAGCTTGTTTCACCTGGCTATCACTGATTCTCTCCTATGAATCTGTGATTTTGTGAAAACAACAACAGGCATGCGTGTCTATATCAAAAAGTGACTTGTATAGTATCGATTCTTCATCTCTCCCTTGAAGTATAAAACTAACATATCCAATTTCTGTGCTCAATGCACTTATTATTAATATATATCAACACCTAAATAAAGAAAGAAAAAATCGTAAAGTAAACGTATACATATGTACAGTACACTAAAAATCAGTTTAAGACTCTGTGACTACCCTAAACTTTTCAATTCTCCCTTCAAACATAATTGATCATGAGATAAAGTAAATCTTAAAGAAAACAGATAAGAAAAAAGTATTGAGTGAAATGAAATGAAAAAAGAGGAACCTTTTTCTGGGTTTTAGGGTTATGATGATCCCATTACAAAATGGATATTTTAAATACAATTTCTTTTTTGGTTTTAATTAAACAAAAGGGAAAAAGAAAAACTTAGATATGGTAAATTTTTACTTGGGTTGGCTTTCTAAAATGGATGTATCTCAAGAAAAATCAATTTGATAAAAAAAAAGACAAAATGGTATGCTTTAAACGATGTCCGGTGATCGATCTTCTTCTACTTCCCTAGACTCTCTTCTTTGGGTTTTCAAATCATGTAATTCGATTTGTAATTTCAAGTTCTTTTCTTCACTTAACCTTAATTCTTCTTCCAAATTCTCAATCACTTCTCTATCAATTCGATCTGGTTTGGTCTTTTCTTGTTCATTTTTGGATTTCGTGGCTTCTAGTAAGGCTTCTAGACGTTGGTTCTGTTCGGATTGTTGTCTAAGCAGACATAGAAAGGAGAAGGTCAGAAGTGTATGATGTTTTCATACGAAAAGGCATACAAGGAAATCGCTTACTTGAGTTGAAGCTTGAGTGCTTGATTATCGAGTTCGGCTCGATTTGCTAAAGACTCAAACTTTTTCCACTCACCTCTCAAAACATCAATCTGTTTTCGTGATTCTCTGAACCTTCGTAAATCATCATCCCTTTGTTTCACGTAGAAAATGTAGATAAAAAGAAATTTTGGCGTCAGTTTTACATATACAAGATAAACGAGAGTGGCAAGAAAATACCAAGTCAACAAGGCCTTAGTCAATGCTTCATTCTTTGCCTGTAGCTCATCCAAACTTTCTAACTTAGGTTCAGTCAATTTCAGTTCATTCCTCAACCCATGCGCCCTGAATCAAATAACAAGTGCGATCGAAAACATCATCAATCTGAACTTTAATTCTCCGATTTCTTCAGTCAAAGTGGAGGGAGAACAGAAAAACCCACATACTCAGTTTCAACCTTTTTCAACTCATTACTTTGACACTCAAGTAGATTCTCAAGCACATTGATCTTATTCAAGAGTTGTTTCTTTTCTTCACTCAGTTCGATTTTCTCTTCCCTGTAACGCGCTGTACGATCTTTAATCAATTGATGATAATTGTTTGTGTTTGTCTTATGTTTGAGATCTTGCTCTAATTTGTTGGAATCCGCTTGTTCTATAATTTCTAGCTTCCTTCTTAGCTCTCGATTGATTGTATGCTGTTTTGTTTTTCACATTGACATGTAGATTAGTTCTGCCATTCTATATCATTTGAGAGCCGTAGAAAAAGTGCAAAAAGACTAAACCAAGTTGGAGATCTCGGCTTCTAAACCAGTTTCCAAGATATTTTGCTTGTGTAGAGTTCCCATTTGTTGAAGATGTTGTTGCTTAAGGTAAAGCTCAATATTCAGCTGAGATTTGAGGATCAGGGTTTGAGTCCTGAGTTCCTGATTAGATCTCTGACATAGTTGATTGATAGGTTTGATAGGCTGCGAAGATGCTGGGTGATTTGACGACTTCAAATCAGCGGGTAACGATGTTGTTCTTGTTCGACTCGGTGTTGGATCTAAACCAAGGGTATGTTTGATAGCCTGTGAAAGTGAATCAAGTGGTGGGTTGGAGAGTTGATGATTGATTAATGAACTGATGATCAGGTTCTGTTCGCATTTTTGAATCAATTCAGCTGATTCGAATAATTTGAGTTGGTTGGCAATGTGAGTGCGTTCGGTGGATAAATTTGATTCGATGAGAGCTGGACATAGTCTGTGTTGAATCAAAAGTGGCTTGGAGAGCAAAGAGTAAGAAGAAAGGTCAGAGTGTAAGAGGTCAAGGAATAAGTTGAAGACATCAAAAGAATAAAACAAAGTCAGGACTCAAACGATAGTGAATTGCTTGATTAGATTGTGATCGAGTTTGAGATTGAGATATTGATGATGCTGATAAGAAGGTTGAAATGATGAAGTTGGAGTTGAAGTTGATGGTGAAGGTGAAAGTGATAATGGTGAGACAATTTGTTGTTCTTGTCTTTGTTCAATAATGCTTTTCAAGAATGAAGTTGGACTTTGTAAGAATTGTAAAAAGTGGAAAGGAAAGAGACCATAGAGTAAATTAAAATAATCTAAAACTGATAATCTTAAACTTTCATCTGCTGATACTTTACTAAGCCATATCACCGATTGTCCAAATCCGATTAATAATTCAATCAAATATCGATCAAAAGAAGTCGGACTTCTAGGAAAGATGACTAAAATTGATCTAATAATAAGTTGAATGAGTTGAGGATCAAATGAAGAAGAGTTAAGATCCGATCGAATCAAGCAATCTAATAAAGTTTGAATCAGGTTAGTTTCAAGTATTTTAGGAATCGCATATGGCCAAGTGGTGATCATATCGATAAAAAGAGTTAATGCGATTAATCGATGATGAGTTGCATTGGAAGGATGATTGACCGACGATGAAAGTTGAATCTTTGGATTTAAGAAGTTGAAATAATCTATCGGTTCCTTCTTTCCCCATCTTAAAAGGATCGATTGAAGTAAAGATTCATGACTAGGTTGATGTTTTGACAAGGAATGATCATCATCACCTTTCATTGAACATGAGCAGTATAATTTGAAGACTTCCTCTGATATCTTGATGTCCTCATTGGATTTAATGATTTCGATTTCTTTCTTTATCAAATTCGAACTGGAATTGACATCCATTTGAATTTCATTTTGATTGAATCTATCTAGATCTAATTCCTCTCGTTCTCTTTCGAGTTCTTTTGCTTTTGCTTCTGATTCTTCTAAAATCAATTCATTATAAATCAAGTTTTCTAATGCTGACTTGGCTTGTGATTCAAGTTGATCGGGATAATAAATCAAACATGCTCTTAATAACTTGGACCACCAAAACTTCATTAAATCAAACTTCAACTTCTTCACTACCAATTCCCTTGCCCTTTTATCCGTATAAAGTTGTTCTAAGACTACTAATAAAGTGGATGATAATCTATATCGTTCATCTTCGTCTTCATCCTTTTCAATTTGATCAGTTTCATTCATCAATTCTTGTCCAAGTTCCATTAACGATCCCATCAATCCTTTCATCGTCTTTTCTCGTAAGGCTTGCTCAGTTGAAGTTATAGTCACACCAACGGTATTACCACTTGATCCATGACTAACATTAATGATTTGATTGGGTTCATCCTGTCCAAGTTGAGTGACTAACAACTCAGCTTTTGACATCAAATCCTCTTCTCTACTAATCAACACATTGCTATCTCGATTTGAACCAGTTCGTCTTCCATGTTTTGATGATCGGATAGGTGAAAAATAAGTTTTGAGAATCGAAGTTAAATCTTTAAGTCCTGATGTACTCATCGCTTCAAGATTTTAAAACAGCTCTTGATGATTTGAAGATTGTTTGAACCAGAGTGATAAGATCTTGGATCGGATTGAAATGATGATGAGCAAGGTTCAAGGTCCATGGACAGCTTGAATGTATTATTGATTGATTAGAAGAGAGCTTTTCGTTTAATTATAGTGACTATCTATCTATCACTATAACTATAGAGTCATCACAAAGTAATCAGCTGGTCGATCTCATTGAGTAAGATCCAAAGCCCGCATCTCGGATAGTAATCCGGGCGGCCCTGTTCGCAGCCCGGTTTGATTCCAAACCGGTCTCTGAAATTTTACACTCCAGGTTTTACTTACAGCCGTTCAAGAGTTCATCAGGTGTGTTTGACATGAGGAAAATTTGAAAATGTCCAAAACCCTCACTGAAACCAATTGTGGATTTATAGGTGAAGAGCTAAAGTCAAGGTGTGCATGTTTGTACAAGATTGGGGCATCTTTAGCAGGGTTGACTTTGATAAATTTGACTTCTTGATTAGATGTTGCTGGGATTGTGCCTCCTGATTTGCTTCAAGTTCAAAGAGGCAATTCATGCAGCAAAATTGATTCATGCTGAATAGCCTGTTGGTGACCCACAGTCAAAGGATCTGTTCATTTCCAACAGACAAAATGTTAGCACCATGGAATGAGTTCTTTGTGATAAATATGCTATGTCTTTTGACAATTTTGTCTTCAATGCGAGTATGATGCTTGGTACACTAGTGCCGGTGGTAGTCAAGGATGAGTTGATGGGAGCACAATTTGCTGAGTGATGATTCCTGTTTGACTTTTCCCAGTGTAGAACTCTTTCAGTACTGGGTGAAAGCTGAGCTGAGAAGAGGAAGAATCACCATGACCTTGTGGCAATCTCTTGACAACAAGGGCACACAGACTACCTTTGAGGCACAAAGGTGACCTGTGTGTGCTCATCAGTTGGCAAACACCACACGCACATGGTGAATGAAGACCACAAAAAAATAACCACAAAAGAACAAGAATAAGTCTTGAGTATTGAATGAAAGACTTCAAAGCCATTGTCAATAAGGTACTTTAGACTAAACAAATCACATTCAACATTGTTATGTTGCAACAAACTAGAGCACACAATATAGGAAATCAAAAGGGTGATCTATAAGCATTTATATCTGTGCTCTGAGGATAAGATCTTGGATTACAAGTTATTCTATTTCACATATATCTAGATTACATGTTATCTGTCTATATGTCCTTCTCAGCCTTATGCTATCCTAACCTAGTATTGCCTAAGTTGAGAATAGTGTGGGGGGTTCACAAGCCTGGAAATATACCAGGGCCACCCCAGGGCCTATGTTTGAGGCCCTGAGTGGTCTGAGACCTGGTCTGTTCCGTGATCTAGACAACTTAAATTTCCTGAAAAGGTACTGGAAATCTGAAGTCCTAGCCTAGGGATGGTGGTTTGAAGAATTAATCTATAAGATTGTAAGCAACTTGACAAGCTTAATTTCTCTAATCTACAACTTAGGTGCACAAGAAGATCACAGCAGAGGGAAGGGAAAATTTTCCCTCTTGCTCTCTGTATCTTTGAGCCACCCAACTCTGTCGTGTATAGGGCTGTGACCCAGCCCTGTGAGTTCAGGGCCGGCCCCGGGGTTACATTGAGCCCTGAGTGTACCTGATGACCTCTGGAATCTGCACAGGGCCAACCAGGGTCGGTAGGAGACTAGTGTTTTTTGGCAAAAAAAGGGTTGGCGCCCCGGCCGGACCGGGCGCCTGAGCCGCCTGAGGCACCCACAGGGCCATATTCAACTGTCATCAAGCCAAATTTGAATGCCCCGGGGTGCGTACCTTCAGCTCTGCAAAAGTTGTCAGGCAGAGCCGGCCGGGCAGGGCCAGGTCCGGGTCACAGCCCTAGCCGTGTATGTAGTGTTACATGTTGTTGAGATTCAATCGACACAAGCATACTTTCTGTAGATTATGCTTATAGCACATCTACCCCAATCTTTCTACATATATATACAACATTGATTTATCATCATCAGTCTTCTTTTCCCCATCAATGAAAAGAAGACTGTGAGTGACTGATTTCTTTATTCTTTATTCTTTATCTTTGTGACCTTCTCTGACTCATGTTAATTTCTTATGTTCTTAGTTGTTATCTTTATCAGACCCAAGATAGGACTCTGAACATATTTGTTTTTCCCGCTCATACCGTGTTCCAAGACTTTCTCACATGTGCACCTAGTGTTCTCTTACCCACATAGCTACAATAGAAGTCTCTCACCATGTTGTGCCTTTGGTGGGAAGTTGCAATCATACGAGTCATGAATAACTATCAAGAGAAAAGACCTACCTAGAGCACGTAATATAGGAAATGGAAGGGGTGAAGAAAAGATGCCTTTCCTGATGCAGCTCTAGGCAGGGTATTATACAAGTGTACTTTTGTAATAAGTATGTAATACTCATTCATGAGACAAAAAATCACAAGATCAGTAGAGAGGAAACAATGGGAAAAAGTCATGAAGTGTAGATGGGAAAGCACATCAAAGATAACAGTCTGACTCTAGGGAATGCACAGTGAGGAATTAAGAACTTAGGGAATATGTAGTGATTCTAAAGATAACATTGTATGTATTCCAACACTTCAAGCCTTTGGCTCAAGAAAAACCAGGCAGAAAGAGGAGAACAAATTCACAAGTAGCACTTTCTAGATGCACTCAGGCACCAAACAAACCAAACAAAATTAGCACTGATTTCTAGTTTCTAGCACACCACATACCCCGGTCCCTGGTGAACGTTATGGCCTTGACAAACCACCACTAATTTTGGCTGGTGACTCATGTCTTTAAAACACTCATATCCACACTGTGTCCAAGCTGTTTTTTCCACAATGGGCTAGAATTGGGAAATTGTTGGATTTCCAAAGGGGCAGAAATCACCATGGTTGCTACTTGTGGGAAATATTGGTGGCCTCCTGGTGCCAAAACCAAACTTCATTCTGTCAAACAGCTCACATGGTCTTCTTGTTTTGCAATTGGAATTGCTATTGGGTGTTTATAAATTGTTGTTGTAAAATGTACCAACTAAGGATCAATGCCACATAACAATATACTGATACACCAACATGAGGAAAGAAAATAAGGTGTGAAGGAGTGTGAATTCATAAAGGAGTAGTTGAGCTACACAATAGGGGGTGTCAAGTTTGATTTTTTATAACAAAAAAAACTATGAAACGGCTAAGTTTGTATGTTATAACTCAAAAAAAACTTAGCCGTGGTTGTTTAATAACTGCTAAACCATGATTGAGGTTTTTTTACATTTTGGCCTCGATCATCCACCTGGTGAGGTGAAAACTGCTGGTAAAAGGATGCAAGGTTGTCCTGGCATCCACTATTAAGCCCACTGTGTCTCAGAGCGAATCGGTCAAGGCGAGCTCTTTGATCAAATGTTGTAAGCATAAATTGTTTACGTTTTACGCAAACGGGATACATAAATCCTCTCCCGTTTGCATAAAATTTGTGTAAATTTATGCTACAGCGGGAGAGAATTTTTACGGTAAAAACCGTAAAAAAAACAAACTTGACACCCCCTAATATGGGCAATAGACATATGGGAACTAAGCATAAGAAATGAAAATACAGAACATAAGCAAACATTTGAGGTGTTCTCAAATTGCTTTACCACTGTGCTAAGCTACCTTTACCTGAACAGCTTTGTCTGGAGCCATATCCACCCAAAATTCTGGTCTAATTCTTGAATGGTGACTCATATACACCTTGGTAGGTAAGGCAAAGTTGGTACTCTGCCTGAGATGTGCAAAACCATGGTTACCATTGATTTGGTTGTGGTTATCTTGCAATACCAATATGAAAAAACTAGTAGGATTGTTTTGAATAATTGCTGACACTGTTCTGTTAAAAATTGCAAACATTATGTGTTTTTATGGGGGCCAATCAAACTGGATAACATCAGCACAAGAGAGATTAATCACATCAGTGGAACAAATTATGATCAAAGTAGTGCAATGATGATAATGAAAGATGATGAGCATAAGTTTGTCTTTCATTGTCCATTGAATAAGAATGTAAGACCAGCAAGGCAATTTGGCTGTCTTTTTGGGATTTCCTTTGAGCCTGTAAAGATCAAATCAAAATTGGTGTTAGGAGTTCTTGCAGCCTTTGAAGATAATGAAACACTTGATCTTTGTACCAGGAGTAGAAGGACCAGCTTGTTGTTTCCCTGGAATCCATTTCAACTTGGGTTTTGTGGCTTGAACTTCCCAATGTATCTTTTGTTTTTTGGTTATCTTTGTCTGGTTTTGGTTTTCTTAAAGGGTTTGGTAGCACTTGAAGAAAAAAATTGATTTCAAACATTCACTGGATTTAGTTACCAGAAATCAAATCTAAAGTGAACCCACATAAGAAAGATAAATGCAATCTACTTTTACTATTGACTGGTACATCATCATCATCTTATCATCATCTGATTCACTCATATCAACACAAACTTTCCTTTTGCTGTTAGTAGTATTTGTGCGTCAAGGAGAAAAAGATTCTTTGGGAATTGATTTAGATTCTGTTGCTTCTGGTTTTCTAGTAGCATGATATCAAATGATGAACATCAGGAAACACCCGCACGCATCATGGTGTTTGTCTTCAGGTGCTTGATTGGATGAAGTGATGAAACTTGAGCTTTGAGGTGTTCCTCTTGAGGTGTTTGAGTTGATGGAATGATGAAACTTAAGGGCCCGTTTGGCTGTTTTTCTGCTTTTGCACTTACCGAACAGTCGACCAAAAAGGTCAACGAAAGATCCTTTTGATCATTGTTGACCTTTTGAACACCGTTCAACTGTTTGGTAACGGTCATGTAAAAGGTGCTTTTGAATGAATCAAAACTTGAAATTAATCGTTCTTTTCAAACCTCATCCATTCATCCATCTACATTCATCAATCGAATCTTTTGTATCTGTTTGTTCAATGCCAGTTCCTCTCAATTCATAGATTCATTTG